GTACTACTTGTAGTGTCCGTACTTCTAAGTGTACTATGCCTGTAGTGAGAGACAGTTGGCACTCCGTGCTCTATGCGCTATTCACGCTACATTATGGTATGGTGTGGGAGCCAGGCAAGGGGCTGGAGATTGAAACACACAGAGACACACAGAGACAGAGTCATGTGTCATTCTTGAAACAAGAATGCCAATTTGAATCAAGAATGCCAACGTTATTGTGTTCCAGGGCAGTTTAAATAGGGCCTTCCCCCGCCAATGGCCATGTCCTAACTCCCAGGATCCTTCAGCTGCAAGCCACCAGCACTCAGAGCAGCTGCAAACACAGAAAAACAAATTGTTTTGTTCAGAGTAGCTGCAAGCGCAGGAAAAACAAGTTGTTCACAGGAAATTCAGGGTCTGCGGGTCCACAGTCCCCAACAGTTTACTCTCTGAAGAAGTGTTAAATGCATAGATACTCCTCTGATCTAAAAGCCCTACAGCATTCCAAATACATCCCTGAAAACAGGGAACTATGTGATTTTTGCTGTACGTGTGTGCGTTCACGGATGCTTCTTTCTCAGAAAGCCTGCTTTGGGATGCCTTGGGGACTTTGACAGCTATGACACCTCGTTGTTGGGCCTGAAGTACCATCTGTCAGAGAGAAGCATCTCTTGAGTTTTATCTCATGAAAGTGGAAGCACTCCGGCGGGAGGAAAATAACCCTAGAATGCAGGACCAAACCAGAAGGGATATTTCAAAGCAAGCTGTCTTCTAATGGTGCTATTCGGGAACCAAGCATAAAGTCTCTGTTGTGCCCAAGTTGAGACCCCCAGAGAGACCACTGGAATCCAGTCAAGTCCAGAATGCAAAAGCAAGGTTTATTTCTTTTGCCAGCTAGCTGGGAGTTCCCCATTACATGCAGCGTAGCACAGTAGGGAGAGCTCCAGTTCCTCATTTGGGGTTGACACATACAGGCAAAAACCGCAAGCCAGGTTTACTCAGGGTCAAGGGGGTTGGTTTTGCTCAGTACAGGGTATGGACTCCTTCTGCATACCCTCTTCCTCCTGTAAGCAGCTACTTCTGCTTCTGTGCATGCCCCGCACCATCTCCCCAAGCAGTTATTTCTGCTCCTGTCTAGTCCACAACGCTGCTAGGGACAGTTGGTCTGCACTTTTGCAAAGGTTCCTGTTTCCAGCTAACTCTTGATGCTGCAAAGTTTCTTGAACCCAGTGCCTTAATCAGCTCCTGATCAAGCAAAGTTTCTTAAAATTTTCCATGTCCTTACAGTCTCTAGCACAGAGAGAGATTTCTGGAAGCCAAGAACGATCAAGAGACACGAGTTAAAAAACAGTTGCCTGAACTGAAAGTAGAACAATGGAGGGAATTGTGAGTTAGGTTGTACCTTATTTTATTCAAGTACAGTAACAAAATCAAGACCCGCTGGAGCCTAGGAGTCCGGCAGAACCATTTTAATATTTTCACATCTGTGGTTTTGAAGCCCACAAAGCTCTGGAAAATGAAATTTTAAAAATAAAGTTGTGTAAACTCATTTGTGACAGCAGGAGACGAATGGTATGATTCCCCCCCCCCCCCCCACTGTCTGTCTGCTTTGCTCTTTCTTTCCATAAGTTTTGTCTACAGGTGTATGACCATGCTACTTGAAGGCATCAGTGACATAGATATGACCACCATATTGCTTTATTAAAATCTGAAAATGTCTGTATTCCATACTTTCCCAAGAGTTTCACATAAGCATTAGTGAACTTTTGTTGGATTTATGTATGTCAATACATTTCTCATTTGACTCATTAACAAATGTAAATTAGCAAATAATCCAGAAATAAGGAGTCCATCATTTCACAAAAATCAACTATTTTCCTTTATTTTTATTATTTATTTATTATTTAGTTTATTTTTTGATTTTTATTGTGCTCTACATTTTTCTCTCCTCCCCTCCCTGCCTCTCCTCTCCCCTCCAACCCTCTCCCAAGGTCCCCGTACTCCCAATTTACTCAGGAGATCTTGTCTTTTTCTACTACCCATGTACATTAGATCTATGCATGTCTCTTTTAGGATTGATGTCTAGGATTGTGATTTGTGGGCTAGTTTTCTTTGCTTTATGTTTAAAAATCACTTATGAGTGACTTCATGTGATAATTGTCATTCTGGGTCTGGGTTACCTCACTCAAAATAATGTTTTCTAGCTCCATATTTGCCTGCAAAATTCAAGATGTTATTTTTTCTGCTGTGTAGTACTCCATTATGTAAATATACCGCATTTTCCTTATCCATTCTTCGGCTGAAGGACATTTAGGTTGTTTCCAGGTTCTGACTGTGACAAACAATGCTGCTATGAACATAGTTGAGCACATGTCCTTGTGGCACGATTGAGCATCCTTTGGATTTATACCCAAAAGTGGTATTGCTGGGTCTTGAGGAAGGTTGTTTCCTAATTTTCTGAGAAATCGCCACACTGACATCCAAAGGGGCTGTACCAGCTTGCATTCCCACCAGCAATGCAGAAGTGTTCCCTTTTCCCCACAACCTCTCCAGCATAAGTTGTCATCCGTGTTTTTGATCTTGGCCATTCTTACAGGTATAAGATGGAATCTCAGAGTTGTTGAACATTTCCTTAAGTGTCTTTCAGTCATTTTAGATTCCTCTGTTGAGAGTTCTCTATTTAAATCTGTACTCCATTTTTTAATTGGATTATTTGTTCTTTTGGTGACTAATTTCTTGAGTTCTTTGCATATTTTGGAGACCAGACCTCTGTCTGATGTGGGGGTAGTGAAGATCTTTTCCCATTCTGTAGGCTGTAGTTTTGTCTTATTGACCGTGTCCTTTGCTTTACAGAAGCTTTTCAGTTTCAGGAAGTCCCTTTTATTAATTGTTTCTCTCAGTGTCTGTGCTGCTGGGGTTATATTTAGGAAGTAGTCTCCTGTGCCAATGCGTTCAAGTGTATTTCCCACTTTCTCTTCTATAAGGTTCAGTGTGGCTGGCTTTATGTTGAGGTCTTTGATCCATTTGGACTTGAGTTTTGTGCATGGTGATAGATATGGGTCTATTTTCATTCTTCTACATGTTGATATCCAATTATACCAGCACCATTTGTTAAATATGCTTTTTTTCCTTTGATATTTTTTGCTTCTTCGTCAAAAATCAGGTGTTCAAAGGTGTGTGGATTAATATCTGGGTCCTCAATTCGGTTCCATTGGTCCTCCTGTCTGTTTTTATGCCAATACCAAGCTGTTTTCAATACTGTAGCTCTGTAGTAGAGTCTAAAGTCAGGGATTGTGATTCCTCCAGAAATTCTTTTATTGTATAGGATTGTTTTGGTTATCCTGGGTTTTTTGCTTTTCCATATGAAGTTGAGTACCATTCTTTTGAGATCTGTGAAAGAATTTTGCTGGAATTTTAATGGGCATTGCATTTAATCTGTAGATTGCTTTTGGTAAGATTGTCATTTTTACTATGTTAATTCTACCTACCCACGAGCATGGGAGATCTTTCCACTTTCTGGTGTCTTCTTCAACTTCTTTCTTCAAAGATTTAAAGTTCTTGTTATACAAGTCTTTCACTTGTTTAGTTAGAGTTACTCCAAGATATTTTATGCTATTTCACAAAAATCAACATTTTTTTTGCATTGTGCTTTAACTCCAAAAGTGGAAAACTGCACACTTTACCATCATGTGACAGGTCACACTCAAGCCTGAAGCTCACCAAAACATCACATAAAATTACCTTCAAACTGTGTGTTGAAGGTGTCCATGAAACATGCATGTATTTCAGGTTTAGAATTGAGTCCCATTCTTATGCTACTTCAACATATATATGTAAATATTCCAAAGTCCGAAAACATTTAAATCCAAATCACTTCTGTTCCTACACATTCTTAGGAGAACTCCTGGTCTGAGGCCACACTCTGTCCCTTGATTGTTTTAATACATTTCTGTATTTTTGAAATTTTTAAAAAAGGTGATATAAAGCAATTCTAATTCAGAATTTATTTATTTATTGGTTTTTTTGAGACAGGGTTTCTATGTGAAACAGCTCTGGCTGTCCTGGAACTCGCTTACTAAACCAGGCTGGCCTTGAACTCCCTTAAACTCCCAGAGCTGTTCGCGCCTCTTACCTGGGATTAAAGGTGTGCGAAAGGTGTGTGCCACCACTTCAGGGCCTGAGTTTATTTTTAAAATAATAGTTTTAAAGTAAATTTCAGTTACTCAGGTCATAACGAAAAGCTCAAGTGCAGTCACCACACACCCGAGAGAGGTTACCTTGTGAACTACTTCAAACTGGTCACTTGGAAACGCTCTAGCCACTTGACCCCTAAAGCAGTAAGTTCATTTGCAGTAAGTTAGCCACACGACCACTAAATGCAGTAACCAACCACAGCCTGGGTTCTCTGCTGGAGAGGGAGGTGCAATTCAAGGACATGGTTGAATCAGTGGAGAGCACTGGAATAGGACTGCCCAAGTATGGTGTTCATCTTCAGAAGATATGGAGGTGGCTGTTAGAGATGGATGTTAACCTTAGGTGTTACAGAAAAAGAGGTTTGCTTGTGCCCCCAGAATGTGTGTTTGGAGAAAGCCCTCAGATAGTGGATAGACCACCCAGCGCAGGGACAGGGAATCGTCAAGCGGCCTGTGAGTGTGTTGTGTGTAGAGTTCCTTCCACACCGCCCGAATGGCCTCCAACAATGACCTTTCTATCAGCTCTAATCTTTCTGTGTCTAGGTTGTCAGTGAACGTGCTGTTGGGACGTTCTCTAATGAAGCATTTTGGTGTGCTTTTTCACAGGGTGTCCATAACAATGGAAGCAGTGTCTCTCGGCCAGATTCCTTATTGCTGTATCTCATGAGCCTACCTGATCTCGAGGAAGAGCCGTATTTAATGATGACAAGCCTGTCACCAGTATAGCAACAAGAAGGGAAAGGACCACAAATAAAGAAGTATTTAGATTTCTATTGCACAAGGAAGATATCTCCGTGAACAGCCTCTGCTGCACTACCTTTTCCCACGATGAACCGATACACAACCATGAGGCAGCTGGGGGACGGCACCTATGGGAGTGTGCTTATGGGCAAGAGCAACGAGTCCGGGGAGCTGGTGGCCATCAAGAGGTGTGTGCGTGCGCGGCACAGCGGAGTTTCCGTCTAAATGTTGGGTGTTTGTTTCCCTTTGCTTGCCTGAGAACCTGCAGCATCAGGGAGAGGGTTTCAGTTCAGACCCCAAAGTAGTTTGAGTGGTGAGGGACACTATTCTAGGAAACAGAAAGTTAGCAGAAAGGAGGATTCTTACATGAAGGAAAAGTCTGTATGACTTTAATGTTCTGCTTTATTCTGATACATAAATAAACCACATAAATCTGAGGGCTCTGCATTTTATGCCTGATGCATTTGGGATAAAACTGGAAGTAGTGAATGTTTCTCAAAGTTAAACATGGGGAACAAACTAGAACTTACTGTTTCTTTAAAAACAATCGGCGTCAAGATAAGGTTGGACTTACAATGTCAAAGTGAATTCTGAAAAGGATATGCCACCTCAGCATCCTCAAGCAAGATCAGATACTTTTAAAATTCTGAAATCAATTTGTAAAGAATTGGCATCTCCTATGTACACTTTGGGATGAATGCAATCATTTTATTAATCCAGTTTTCCTGTATGGCTTTATTTCAATTGATTTTTGCTTTAAAGCCATTATGTTAGATCTGTTGTTTGGGAAGTAACAACTTTCTAAAAACCGATGGTACTGCAAAGTGCCTTTGGGGAAGTCCTGATCTTCACCAAACTGATTCCCAAAGCTTCCTTAGAGAGCCTGAAGGACTCTTAAGTGAAATTCTAATTCAATGAGGATACTTTAAAAATAATAGCAATGACACCCTTCATGGCTCATGATGGTTCATAGAAAACTCAGAAACAAAAGAACATCCACTAAGTTTTCAATATGCTTTGTAATACAGTAGCACATGCCCCATGGGAAGGCATTTGAGCCACAGAGAGGCCGTGAAAGGCCATCCATCCATGAGCAGGTGAACAAGGACTTGCACCCAGCTGTGCAATTCCACAGCCCACGTCTTAACTCCCTCTCGCTGTCAGTCCCTTACCCAGTCCCTCACGTGTGCACTCTGACTTTACGAGGCCCCGCATTTGTGAAATTAGCCCACATAATCGAATCACTCTCAGTTTCCTGGTGGTGTACAAATCATCAATAGGAGATTGTATCATTTTCTCCCTTCTGTGACAAAATGCTAGACAGAGGCACCTACGGGCAGAAAGGCTTATTTGTGCCTCATGATTGGAGAAGGGGTACAATCTGTCATGGCAGGGGAGGCCTGGCGACAGAGTGGCCACACTACCTCGGCTGTTCTGAAGTAGACAGAGATGAACTCTGGCGTCAGCTCACTTTTTTTCCTTTTTATTCAGCCGAGGATCTGTAGGTTGGGGTCACTCACATTCAAGGTGTGTCTTCCCCTCTTCAGTTGAACTCTTCTGGAAACACCCTCATACACATGCACTCAGAGGTGTGTCTCCTTGGTGATTCTGAAGCCAGTCAAGTTGACAATAAAAATGATCACAGAGACCATACCACTAAGTGCAGTCATGGACATAGTTGGGTGGTTAGGTTTTGGGGAGGGCTGTTTTGTTTTGAGACAAGATCTCACTATGTAGTAGCCCTGGCTGTTCAGAACTCACTATGTAACCCTGGCTGTTTGGAACTCACTGTGTAGACCAGGCTGGCCTCAAACTCACAGAGATCTGCCACCTCTGTCCCCTGAGCACTGGCATATACTTCCACGCTTCGCACATTGTTAATGCGCGAAACAATGCCACACCAGTTTGGATTTAAAGGGTATTTATTTTAGGGGTAAAACTTACAGAACACCGACAATCAGGAAAGGAGTCTGGTTGCTGGAGCAAGAGCAGAAACCAAGAGAGCTAGCCGAGGACTGCTGCTCTTTTAAAAAGAGCAATAGACCACGCCCCAGTGGGCTGGTATTTCAGCGGCAATTGGCTGACAGAGCGGAAGGCGCTCTGCAGCACGTTGTTGTTCTTGTCCTGTTCCCTTCAGTGACTAAACCTCCATTCATACAGAAATACGCTCCATCTGTTGTCTGAGCAGCGCAATTACTTCCTAAGCTAAACATTCTACTGTGTCTAATAGGGAAGAGGGTAGAATGCGAGAAAGGCTCCGGGGTCAGTTCCCGGCCACCACCCCCCACTCCACACCCCCGACCCCACGAGGAAAGCAGAAAAGGAAAGACTTAAGTCTGGATCACCTGTGGGTTTGGTTTTGGTTTTGCTTTTTTGTTTGTTTTTTTTTTCTCTCCCTGATTTAAGGTATTTCATAATCCCTTATCCAAAGAACTAGTGATGTAAATGTTGTTAGATTAAGTCCTTCGCTGAATTTGCTGCCAAACTTTGTAACTTTCGCCCTGTCCCGCTTCTGAGGTATAGGGTTTGGGTTTATCTTTTAAATCCCAGAAAGGAAATGTACACGGGAGACTTTAAAAAAAAAAAAAACCAGCCCCAGTTAAAGAGCTCACTGAGAAGGGAAGCTCAGGACAGCCATACTGTGCTAAAACAGAGTGGTGGCCCCGACCCGGCACACCTGAGCCCAAACATGGCATGGCACCATGAGGTGTAAACAGAAAGGAGGGGATTTCCTTCTGGGGAGGAAGAGTGATTTCCCAAAGTGAAGCCATAATCAAGAACACCAGAGGTGGTGAAATTTGTTTCTTGCAGCCTTCACTCCTGAACACTAGCTTTCCCTCATTTATTTCAGAATGAAGAGGAAGTTCTATTCTTGGGATGAATGTATGAACTTGCGAGAAGTTAAGGTAAAAACGTCAAGGCTCCAACAGGACACCATCTCCAAGGAGAGCAGCTGAGATCATTCCGTTGTAGACCAGTGGTGTTCAGCCTTCCTTTAATACAGTTCCTCACGTTGTGACCCCAACCATAAGATTATTTTCATTGCTACTTCCTAACTTTAATTTTGCTATTGTTATGAATCATAATGTAAATTATCTGATATGCAGGATTTCCCATATGCGATACCCAAAGGGGTTGTGACTCACGGGTTGAGAAGCACTGTTTTTGACTCTTCCAAATGCCCCCTAATGATAACTGCATCTGCCCCCTTCCTTTCCATTCCTCTTTGCTCCCATGTTAGTGGGGAACAGAGAATAACCAGGCCATCTTCTACTTAAAGATGACCTTACAGCTCACACTCCGAAAGGGAAGGCAGCTTTTGAAATCATGACCTGCCTTTCCCTTGTAGTCTATTCTGTGTGGCTTGGGTGAGTTTTTAGATACTTTGCGTGGAGTCTGACATGGGTAAATCAGAAAGAGACAAGTAGACCTGCTTTGGAAAATGAGGAGGGAAAGTGGCCGGTGGACCCTCCGGGCAGCTACTGTCGCGTTGGTGGCCCGTTTTCACTCGGTACTCTTCGCTTAGATCATTAATATTTGCTTTAAATCGGTGCTCCAAGCGCTTTTAAAATAATGCAGATATTAGCACGTAATGCGTTAATGAATCTAAGAGAAATGGACAGTTACCTGAGGTAACTAGCTAGCACAAATGAGGTCCTGCAGATTTCTGTAAATTTGCTTTAACAATGGCATTGCTCTCCTGCTTTGCAGTCCCTGAAGAAACTTAATCATGCCAATGTGATTAAACTAAAAGAAGTTATCAGAGAAAATGACCATCTTTATTTTATATTTGAATATATGAAAGAGAACCTCTATCAGCTAATGAAGAACAGGTATGGCTTTATTTTATGAAAACTATATTTTCCCTGTCATTTTCCCCATGAGTTCCTTGGATCCTGTCAGTGCATCACACTTGATGAAATGCTGGTTTATAACTTGAAGAGGCTGAATTAATTGAACTGATAGTTATTTCATCACACGGTAGCATTTTTTTTTAGTTTTTATTTATTTATTTATTATGTATACAATGTTCTATCTGTGTGTATGCCTGAAGGCCAGAAGAGGGCACCAGACCTCATTACAAATGGTTGTGAGCCACCATGTGGTTGCTGGGAAGTGAACTCAGGACCTTTGGAAGAGCAGGCAATGCTCTTAACCTCTGAGCCATCTCTCCAGCTCCCCCCCCCCCCCCCACGGTAGCATTTGACACTGAAAAACCAGCTATGAGGTCGCTCCACTCTTCCACTGTAATTCCTTAGCAGCTAACGTGAAGACATCATACAAACTCACCAGCCATCCCTCCCCTTTTGAATGAAGGGCGTCAGTAGTCTTATATTCAAAAGTGAAGCTGGGTTTAGGTAAAAATGAGGATGTTGTCTTGGTTGTCCTCTCAAGCATCTTATGGAAGAGTTGTGGACAAATGAAGAAAAAGGTCGCTTTCAAGATGAGGCAGGGGAAATGACTCAGTTGGTGAAGAGCCTGGGGACAAGCATGAGGACCTGAGTTCTGATCCTCAGGGGCCACACAGGAAAGTCAGGTGAATGGCTGTGACCCCAACATAGGAGAAGGGAGACAGGGGGAGCCTTGGGCCTCATCTGTCAGACAGTCTGGCCAATGAGTGGGCTCCTGATTCAGTGAGAGACCCTGTTTCAAGGAAGAGAGTGTTGGAGGAGCATCCAACCCCAACCTCTGGCCTCTACAAGAATGCTCACATTCTGACATCCACCCTGCCCCCACCCATAGGGTCTGATGAACTCATTCATTAGAGATACATGAGTGATGAAAATTAATGTTACCAGCCTGAAGCACATTCTCACTTTGATGTTCAGTTGTTGATAACTTTAGCTGATAGTCTGACAGAAATTAATTTTGGGGACCTTACCATGGATATTATCTAAATACCACATGTAAGATAACCACTGGCCTCATGTGACTTTCAAGCCCTTAAAATGATTAAATCGAACTGTGCTATAACACAAAATAAATTATACACCAAGTTTGGAAACTTAGTATAAAAATTATTAATAATCTTTATATGAGCCAGGCATGGTAGCTTCATACCTGTAATCCCAGCACTTGGGAGGTGGAGGAAGGAGGACAAGAAGATGCAGAGTCGTCTTCAGCTCTGCAGCATCTTCAAGGGTAGCCAGGGCTTCGTGAAGACAGGGTCTCACAATTCTAAGAATAAGGCAGTAACGGCAACAACTGTGTACTGATTGCGTGTTGAAATAAATGCACCTTTTAAACTAAGGTGGAAAGACAGAGGTGAAGAAAGACCAGTAAGAGGATACTAAGAAGTGAAAGAGTCTGGAGTTTCCATGGTTTAATAATGGCTGTAAGTAACAATTGCAAATTGCATAGTTCAAAAGATAGAAGAAAGAATTTTGAAGTTTTTACCATAAAGAAATGATAAGTCTTTGAAACATTAATATTCACTCTGATTGAACATTATCTTGTATATACATACATGAAAATATCACATTATATGCATTTTTGTTTTATATTTATATAAATATGCACTTTATACTTACGCACCAGTCAAAATAAACTTAAAATAAATTTTTAATTAAGTTTAATGTTTCCTTTTTGTTAAATGTAGCTGCTAAAAAAATTAAACATGGCTTATATTTACCTCTTAACTGTATTTTTATTGGATGGTGCCAATATGCAGTAGAAACTGAAGCATAAAATGACCTAATACATGCAGGCCCTACTTCTCAAAGTCTATGTAATTGTTTTTTGATACTCATAGTTTTCCAGGGCGTTTTGCTCTTATTGGGACAGTTTAGACTTTAACTCTTGAGTGTTTATGTAAGACATTCGCTTTTGGATTGGAGGTTTTCTGAAACAGCAAAATAAACCAAAAAAAAAAAATCGCTATTTTTCCATTTTAAACCTATGGCATTTAGCACGACTCTTTTAATTATGCCTTAGCCAGCAGAGGCCACGAGGCAGCCGAGTATCAGCCTTCTTCACTTTTGGTTGGTGACCAGACTATTCATTTCTTCCAGAAACAAACTGTTCCCTGAGTCAGTCATCAGAAATATTATGTATCAGATACTGCAGGGGCTGGCCTTTATCCACAAACATGGTGAGTTTCCTTGTAATCGCATTGCCCTGTGACTTTATTATCAGGACCACACATAGGAATAAGATCTCATCTGCTAAGTTATGCCTAAGCACACTGATGTTGTCATTTAAACATTATCATTTTTGTAATTGTGTATAGATATCTATTATCTATAAGAGACTTTTAAGACGTTTGATCATCAATCTCCTGCCTTATACCACTCCCCCAAAACTTAAAAAAAAAAAAATCTCTGTTAGGGTGTTTTGGGCAGGTTAGGGAAGGAATTCTCGTTTTAGACAGAAGTAGAAAGTAAACAGTTTTATTTGACACACTGCATGGAGAACAGCAAGCCCGGAGGTAGCACGCTCGGTGCTAGGCTGCAGGGGAGCCAAGGTAGAGACACCCTGGGTGGTGTGCCTGCAGTTTCCTGTGTTTACACACAGAGGGCAGCAACGTGATTTGGGGTTGTGGCTGTTTTTCTTCTTCATTAGGCTGTTCTGTTTGTGCAGGATGGAGCTGTGGGTTTTTTCGGGTTTGTATTTTTTGTTTGGTTGGTTGGGTTTTGTTGTTATTTTTCTTCTGTGTGAGGGATGCACTCTGGGCCGGGCTTGCCCTAGAGGATTTGTTCCCTTCTGTTCTCTCAATGACAATCTTCCCTCCAAACTTGTTCTAGAGAAGATTGGAAGCCCTTGATGAAGCCGGGATGCTCATGGGGATTTAAGAATGTGCAGTCCTTTGTGCAGGGTTTCATGGTTGTCTTTGGCATTTGCATTTAATTATCTCTATTCTCTGAGCAGAATGGAAGCTGGCATTTATTTTTTTCTGATCTCTTACTCATTTAGTTTTATGTGATTTTGTTTGTCCATCGAACCAACATAATTATTGGCTCAGAAATCTAATATGTTTGCTGTTAACGAGAGTCTGTTTAGGATCACTGGCCATTTGGGTATTTCGTTAGAAAGATGTGTAGATTGTGTCATGGTATCGCTGCACTTGGAACCTAGGCAGGCAGTGCTTTAAAACGCGGATGCTTAGAGAGCCAGGCCTCAAACCTCCACCAAATGTGGTCCTTCTCCCTAGTGGGTCTTCAGGATCTGGCGCCCAAGCCTACCTTAGGGAAGAATCCCCTTAAAGCTGATTTTCAAGGAGAGCCCTTGCGGCTTCCCTTTTCCTGCCCATTTCCACAGAGCTGCCCGTTAGCCCCCGCTACTGACCTTTATTTTATATATTGAATTGGTAATAATGGGAATTTTCATTACTGGGTTCTCAAAGGCTTAGCCACCAGGGAAAAGTGAACTGTTAAATAAACAAGGAGATTAGTTAAAATATGTGGAGCTCTTTTGTCCAGTGGACCTTTCAAATATGTGATTAAACTCGGGGAATCTCATGTTAAGCCACAGAGTAGCAGGAAGAACGAGACCGGCTGAATCAAGCCGAATCAGGAAGCGACAGCCTCGCTTCTATCCGTGCCTCTTCCTTCTTGTCTGTTACACAGTAGTGATAATAGTGCATCCCCATTCCATAATGCCATGGAATAATAGGAGGTAGTCCCAGTGTGTCCATAGCTATCCCTCCTATGCATCTACTGAAGTCACAAATTAAAAACACGTGCCGCATGGGCAGCTCTTTTTAATGGCCTTCTGTGTTGTGTGCAAGCCCCCTCCCCCTGCTACTTCCTTCACAGAAAGCATCTCCTCCCCTAACCCCATGTTGCTGGTAGGAGGGCTCAGTGCTATTGATATAAGCCCAGGGTTGTGGGATGGTGATAACCCACAAGCTGACTTACTGCCTTTCTCCTCTCTCACTTGTGTAGGCTTTTTTCACAGGGACATGAAGCCTGAAAACTTGCTTTGTATGGGTCCAGAGCTGGTGAAAATTGCTGATTTTGGACTCGCAAGAGAATTGAGATCCCAGCCACCGTATACTGACTATGTGTCTACCAGATGGTAACAATTATGTAGAAGTTATTCTATGTTGAATAGTTAATGATCTTCCCAAAGGTTCCATATTTAGTTTTTAAAACAAAATATGGAGATTTTATGTTCTTAACAGAGGGGGACGAATTGGCTCATGGCTATTCCAATAATGAAATAAGAAAAAATAACTTTTCACTCAATTATTCATTCAACAAATTGAATACCCCACCATATGCTAAACATTACTGTACACAGTGGGAACACAAGGCCATGAACAAAACAGAAGAGAAGTTCAGTGCAGCTAACATGACAGCCAAGACACAAATACGCTAAACAGTATGAGTAACCAAAATCCATGTCATGGCCCCAACTGCCCCTCAACACAGGACATTCTACTCAAGGGAAGGCTATTCAGCAGGAAAAAGGAACAGTCTACAGCGACATACAACACCATGGCTACTTCTCAGAGGTCACACAGATAGAGAGCTTCCATGGAATGCCGTCAGTTGTATAAAATACGAGACTAGAGAAAGCTGCGGGTTTAAGTTAGAATAGTGATTGCTTGAGCCTTCGAGGATACCAGGAGCATACCTTTCTTGTTCTGGTTGTCGGGCCCCTGAGTGTGAATTTGTGGAAAATTCACCAAGCTGTACCTATGAATTTAAGTGCATTTTCTTGTGTGTATATTTGTAAAAGCAAGTGTGTATGTCCATCACATGCCAATACATTATTATAAACAAGACACACAGAGAGGTGATGGGAAGTTGGATCCCCGAGGAGGGAAAGAATGGTGCTGTTATAATGGAGGCCCACTGACAACAGCCCTGAAGGAGATATTAAAAACAGATGCTGAGGGAAAGGCCTCGGGCAGGAGTATGTCTTAATAAGATCTGCAGAGAGCACAAGGAGTTAAAAAAGACAGTTGTGGGAAGTGAGGTCAGAGCAGCTGAGGGGTTGTTGGCCACATGGGGCCTTTTGTAGACCATATGAGGACTAGCTTTTTAAATGCATTTATTTATTTGTTTGTTTATTGTTTTGCTTGCATGTTTGTGTGAGAGTGTCAGATCCCCTGGAACTGGAGTTACAGTTACGGGCTGCCATATGGGTGCTGAGACTCAAATGCAGGTCCTCTGGAAGAGCAGCTGGTGCTCCTAACAGCTGAGCCATCTCTCCAACCCTGAGGACTGGCTTTTGAACCTACACAAAGCATAAAACCATGGAATAGCTGTGTGAAGTGGTGTGCTGTGCTTGGCTGGGGTCTACAGCCATTCCTCTGCCTGCCACAGTGAAAGACTTTTAGGAAATGAAAGACAGGAGTAGGGAGACCATCCACCAGAAAACAAATGGTATCGAGCTGGACCCTCCTGGCTGTGGAGGGGATGGGGTGTGTGGGATTCTGGGTCTGTGCTGTGAGAAGTCAAATGGGGTTGGAGGACCTGGCAGAAAGGAATCAAAGACTCAAAGGTTTTTGTCCTAAGGACCTAAAAAGATGGCTCACCATGAAAAACTGAGATGAAGATCTGGAAGCTGACTGCTGGATCAAGGATTGAGATCTTGGGCAAGCACTGGGCTGGAGCCCTTGGAGCTGAGCCGATGGTACAGCTGGAGACAAGAGGCGATCTGAGGACTGAGTCTAGACAGAGCAACCGACAATCCTGGTTTGCCCAGGTCGCTCCTAGCCAGTGCCATTACCAACTGCTTGGCTGAATTAAGCTGACGGATCTGGTGGACCTCTGCTGAGTGTGTGATCTCCTTGTAGATCTAACCTGTTGATGTTAGAGACACACGTGACACCTTGACACATGCCTAAATGAGAAAGATGACTACAATTTCCCATCTCTCCTTGTTCAACATTTTCCCAAAATCTGTAAGACAGGAGTGGTCCTCCTCTAGCTCCTCTGGTCGGGCGTTGGCAGAAGTGCTTGATACGGCTACCCTCTAGCAGGCACACGGAATCCCGGCCACCATGCCACAAGCCTTTGAAATGTCACTTGGTGATTTCATGGCACTAAGTGCTGCCTGAATGTTCTGTCTACGAGGATTATCACATAGCATGAATCTACTGCGATTTCATTATTTGGTGTTATAGGTTACGTTATGTTCCCATAAAAGATATTCTGAACCTCTAACCCCATGTATATGACCTTATTTGGAATTTAAGTCTTTGCAGATGTAATTAAGGTAAACGAAAGTCAGACAGGAGTAAGATGTCTTCTTCACAGTCTGGAATTGCCTTTGCCCTAGACTCTTCCGAGATCACAGCCATTTCACATCCTGACATCAGAGCTGTCGCTCTGGGGCTGTTAAGAGAATAAACTTGCTGTTTTCAGTCAATCAGATTGCAGTACTTTGTAACTGTAGCCCTGTAAAGTGAGGGATACATGCTTTCTGAAGAAATTATTTGGAAGGAAATCTCCCATCAACAACAGTTGCAGAAACAAACCAAGTGTTCCTTTGGTGAAAAGCTGGCACTTTCCTGTTTGTCAAAAGGAGCAAATGATGAACAAAACACTCCTCATTGCCATCTGCCTTCTACCACAGGGGCCATTGTTGCTGACGTAGTGCAGACCAGAGTACCCAGGTGTCCTGGGTAGTGTCAGTATGCATTTAAAAAGTTAGTGAGTGGAAGGAAAAACTAAATATACACAGTGGGGTTGTGGGCATCTATTAAAAAGAATGAAATTATGTCATATTTAGGAAAATGGATTGAGCCAGAAATCATTGCGTTAAATGATAGAAGCCAGACTCAGGAAGATTGGCGGCGAGGGTTGGGGAGGGTGTTGCAGGGCCTTGCCACTTGCCTTTGCTCCTGTAAAGTGAAAATAGTATTTTCTGTATAAGGAAGTATAATGATAGTATGAACATTTTCAATCAGATATTTTAAAACGGAAGGAAATCCACTATTCAAGGACAACCCTTCCACTTTTCCTCTCCTGACCTACATGTGGGCACATGAACACCTGATGGTTTTGCCCATGGTTCTCCCCAGATAATTCAGAGAGTACTCACCTTCCCGATTATCCATATGAAGACCCACCTCAAGCCACATGGACATTTCCCCTACATTTGTCGCCTATCAGGAAGTAGGTGTCACGCAAGTCCCTTGGACACAGAAGGCACTTTGTCCTTGGGCCTTGCTGGAAGCTCTGAGCAAGCAGCTGACCCCTGCTGCTCATCCATCTGTGACGTTACCCTGGAAACTGCTTTCCCCACTCTGTTTTCTGTTTTCACAGGTATCGTGCTCCTGAGGTTTTACTAAGATCTTCGGTGTACAGCTCCCCCATTGACGTGTGGGCCGTGGGAAGTATAATGGCCGAGCTATATACATTTAGACCGCTTTTCCCAGGGACAAGTGAGGTTGACGAAATATTTAAAATTTGCCAAGTGTTAGGGACTCCCAAGAAAGTAAGTATTCTTGTTGTCCTTTGGGGACCCCTCACTTGCTACTTTACTTTTTTGTTTTATGACTAACTGTTTCTCACTTTAGCAGAGATATGAGATATTTTCAGTTTCAAATAACTTCATACCTTAATAGCTTTCTTACAATTTTTTTTTAATTGAGTAACAATAAGGATTGGAAGAAGTCAGAATCCCACTGGATTTGAAGGGAGAAAAGGTGTTTGTTTTTCCTTAAGACATGAATAGGGAGAGTCTGTCTAGATCTTCAGTTTGGGCTGATGTTCATGACTCCAAGATTGCCCACTAAGACTGTCCTGCTCGTTCTGTGGGTGCCCTTCACCCCTTCACTAAGCCCTGGGACCTGAGACCATATTTTCTCTTAGCCTCTTTGTGGTTTCCATTTCTATCGCTACTGAATTCTGAGTACCTCTCCATGGCTGTTGCCTTTGGGGTAGACCTTACCATCTAAGATGCAGTTAATAAATATAACGTGTAATTGTAGCTTAGTGAAGCCATCCCTGGCCTCTCAGTAGACAGGTCAATATAGATGCTAGGGCGTGAGGTTGATGGCCATTTCCCAACTATAAGTGCTTTAATGTTGGGTTTGCTCTGTTGGGTGGTGGGGTCTCCACAGGTTGAGGCCTCTTTGCAAAGCTTCTGTCTTTATTTGTTCAGCCACCAAGTTGTCACTGATACTGAAAGCCAGAAAGAGTTTGATATTTTGAAATCTGTAGATGTAGTCTTTCATTTTTACCGCCTCTCAGTTCAATGTCATTTCCATACGGTGTAGGGTCTGGTATTTTGTTTGTACATTTGTTTATCTGACTCAGCAGTGAAGTTTCCCCACATGAATGGTTCCTTTGTCACTCCTGTGTTTTTATATTAATTACAAAAATCCATTTTCTCTTTGTATATATCCTTAAACAGAGTGATTGGCCAGAAGGGTACCAACTTGCATCCTCCATGAATTTCCGCTTTCCCCAGTGCATTCCTATAAACCTAAAAACTCTCATCCCCAATGCCAGCAGCGAGGCTATTCAGCTCATGACAGAAATGTTGAGCTGGGATCCAAAGAAAAGACCAACCGCAAGCCAGGTGAGGCAGTTCTCCCAGGGACAGCTTTTTACAGTCGTGAGGATTATTAAAAATTATCTATTTTATGTGTATGTGTGTGTGCCTCAGTATATGGAGTGTACTACATGTGTATAGGAGCCTACAGAGGCCAGAAGAGGGCATCGGATCCCCTGAAACTGGAGCTGTAGAGGGTTGTGAGTCACTATGTAGGGACTTGGAGCAGGCTTTTTCTTGGACCACCTACCAGCACCCAAATCATGACACGGAGACTTATTATTGGTTATGAATGCTTGGCCTTATCTTATACTTGCCCTGCTAGCTCTTATAATTTATATTAACCTGTTTCTCTTGATCTACATTTTGCCTCGGGATTTTCTACCTTTCTCTTGTGCTGTATGTTCTACTGTTCCTGCTTCTGTCTAACTGGCTGGCTGGCTGGCAGCTGCCTGGCGCTCTCTCTCTCTCTCTCTCTCTCTCTCTCTCTCCCCCCCCCCGCCTCTATGTTCCTCCTCCTACTTATTCTCTCTGCCCTCCAAATCCACCTATCCCTCTACTGCCATTGGAAATTCAGCTTTTTATTAGACACCTTTTTAATTAGGTGTCTTAGGCAGGGAAGGTAAAAAGAGTAACACATCTTTACATGTTTGTAATAGGAGCGGGCTGCATTCTGCCCGGCTCCCAGCCACCTGGTTAGCTTATGCCCCGAAATAATTACACGGAAACTGTATTTTTTTGAACATTGTCTGGCCCATTAGTTATAACCTCTTACTGGCTAACTCTTACATATTGATCTAACCCATTTCTAATATTTTGTGTAGCATCACGAGCTGGCTTACCAGTAAAGATCTTAACCTGCGTCTGTCTGGAGTAGGAGAATCATGGCGACTGCCGAACTCAGCTTCTTTCTCCCAGCATTCTGTTCTGTTTTTTCCGCCTACCTAATTTTTGTCCTATCAAAGGGCCAAGGCAGTTTCTTTATTTAACCAATGAAATCAACACAAAACAGAAGACTCCCACATCATTTACATAATGAAGCAAATGCAGCATAAACAAAAGTAGCACATCTTTACATCATTAAAGTAATTTTCTACTCCACAGCATGGGCTGGGAACCAAAACCAGGGCTTTCAAGAGAGCAGTAAGTGTTCTTAATTAACTACTGAGCCATCCCTCCAACCTCTTAATTTGTGAAGTTTTGCAGTTTTACAAAGGCATTGATTCTCAAGCCATGTTTTACCAAGATGAATAAGCACTGAAGCCCTAGATGCCCACTGTGTGCGGCAAAGCAGGAGTGAGGGGTGGGCGGGTTTGTAGCGCATTGCAAGTGCAGCCACTGCGTGATGGTGTCACGGTCCCAACGAGCCAGAAGGGGCCACCACTGACGATAATCCCGTGTGACCTGTGAGGTGGGCAGATGCCTGCTCAGGGAACTCTTTGGTTGAGGAGCAGGATTCTTATTTTCGGTGTACATCAAGAAATCGGACTATAGTAATGGGAGTTTAACCCCTGACTCCCACAAGACGGCAGTATTGTGGCACTGTGTGTCACAAATCTCAGGACCTTTAAAATACCATCCCTTTATTTGCCTATATTCTTTAAATTTAGTATAAATTCCATGTACAAATTGCCCCCCACACTTTTAAAAAGAATTAACTTATGTGTTTTCTAAAAACTAGATATAAAAAAAAAGAGAGAGAGAGGAAGCTGTAGAGATGGCTCAGTGGTTAAGAGCATTGGCTACTCTTTCAGAGGACCAAGGTTCAATTCCCAGCACCCACGTGGCAGCTCACAACTGTATGTAACTCCAGTTCCAGGAGATCCAACACAGACATACATGCAAGCAAAACATCAGTACACATAAAGTAAAAATAAATGAATCATTAAAAAACAAAATAAAAGAGAAAGATTAACCCAGGCGAATCTGAACACAGGCAGGGAATTAGAGAGCAGTGAGATCGTAAAATAACCTGTGATGCAATCACCATAGCAACAGTCCTGACATAGGAAGAGATCACAAGAGACTGCGTGTGACTACTTAAAAACCAACAGGAGGTGTGTGTAAAACTTGATATCATGATGAGAAAAATGTGGCTACAAAAGCAGTGGAAGAGGAGCCAACAAGATGGGTCAGCAGATCCGGGTACTTACTGATGTCCTGAGGTCAACCCCTAGCACCCACATGGAGTCATTTATAACTGGGCTAGAGAAAACTTTCAATGCGTTCACCTTGCCTATAGTTTATTTTATTTATTTATTTATTTATTTTTGGTTTTTCGATACAGGGTTTCTCTGTGGTTTTGGAGCCTGTCCTGGAACTAGCTCTTGTAGACCAGGCTGTTCTCGAACTCACAGAGATCCGCCTGCCTCTGCCTCCCGAGTGCTGGGATTAAAGGTGTGCGCCACCACCGCCCAGCCTATAGTTTATTTTAAAAGATAGGACAAAACCCGAAGAACGTGCACCTGTAGATTTAGCTGTGTGCTTCAGTTACAGGAGGCGGACTTTCTCCAGGGAAGTTTGTCTTCTGGTGTCAACATTCTCAGCATTGTCCAGCTGTGTATTTCCTACAGCGATCCTACTTGCTTGGCTCTCCTTAATACAGAGTTCATGGCTAGCGTATAAGGCCATGGGTTCAATACCTAGAACCTTGACCAAGAAAATCATTGTTAATAATGACACTCTGCCCTACCTTAAGCTTGCACACAATTTAAACTTGGAAATATTCTGATTAGCTAAACATCGCTGTGATGTGATGTGATGCATGATATTTTCTTGTTTTTCCAGGCATTGAAACACCCATATTTTCAAGTCGGTCAGGTACTGGGCCCTTCCTCACACCATCAGGATGCAAAACAGACTTTAAACAAGCAGCTGAAGCCACTGGAACCAAAGCCATCTTTCTCTGAACGGGATCCTAAGCCTTTGCCAAACATACTTGATCAGCCTGCCGGGCAGCCCCAATCAAAGCAGGGCCACCAACCACTGCAGCCTATTCAACTACCACAAAACACAGTGATCCAGCCACCTTCAAAGCAGCAGGGTCACCAGAAACCACCACAAACGATGTTTCCAAGTATCATCAAAACCATGGCCATGGTGAGTAGCCAGGAGGGATCCCTTAGCTGGCATGGCCTGCTGCAGTTTGGGTAGGAAGTGGCCAGAAAACACACATTAAATTATTGATGCAATTCTAACTCTGGAGAATTATGGAGTTTGTCCCAAGTCCAAGTCCCTGATTTCCTTGGTTGAGATTCAGCAAGAGATAGGTAATATTTTAAGATGATGAGGAGAAATGTCCAGAATAAAGGAATATCAATTGTATGCTGCAAGCTTCTTTTAAGAATTCATAGAAGGAATTGGACACTCTAGAGCACTGATTCTAAATATTAAACATTTTCCAAAGAATTTCATACTGTTTTTTACTGATAATGAACACAAGCAGACTAGAAGGTTTTAAAGAACATTATTTTTATTTATTTTTAATCTTTGAGGTTATGCTATGATTACATTATTTTCTCCTTCACTTCCCTCCCTCCAAACCCTCGCATGTACCCTTCCTTATTCTATTTTAAAATCATGGCCTCTTTTTCATTATTGGTGTGTGTATATGTGTGTGTGTGCATATTCAGAAATATATAAATACAACCTATGCAGTCTGTACCTATATGTTTATGTTTTCAGGGCTGACTATTGTATTGGGCTGCTTCTCGCACAGATCTTTTCAAATATTGTATCTAATTCCTGGTCCATCCCCAGCTCTCACCATTTTAATATGAGCCTTCCTATCTCACACTAATACCAAACCCGTCCTAAGGAGGCACTAATTTATGTTTCTAGTATTGTTGTAGAGCATTTTCCCTTCTACTGGAGTGCAAGCTCTGTGACATCAGAAATATGTCCAATTTGCTTATCAGAGTCTAGAAAGTGCCTACTATGGTAAAAAAATTAATATTTACTGAATAAATGAAGAGCCTCCAGGGTCCAGAAGAGTCTCCATCCAGCTCTGAATATTAGAGACTGTGGTTCTCTGTGGCTAGAACAGGAGACTCCATGGCCTGTAATAGAAGGGAGAATGTGGTTCCCCGTGGACTGTAATAGAAGGGAGAATATGGTTCTCTGTGCCGTATAATAGAAGATATCATTCTTCCAGAAAGGCAGCCCTGCAGGAATTTGAAAACAGCCCTGTATCATCTGCCCTCTGGGTGAAACATCCCCAAGTCCCTCTGACTCTTGTTCTGACAGGCTTCCAACCCCCTTCCTCATTCTGCTGGCCACTGAGAATGGAGCTTCCTGAACAAGAGGCAGACAGACATACCAGGGAGGGTAACGCAGGAAAAATGGCTTCCAACCTCCCAAAACTGAAGGGCCATTCTGGTCACTGAGGGTTGCGTTTCCTCTTCCCCCCTCAGAACGTCACCGGATGCTGGTGCACACTGAGAGGAAAGAAAAGTTTGTATTTAATCAAGCAGTGTCTAAGAACTGTACACTGTGTTCAGCCTCTGGGCATATTCACCAAGTTATAGAACCTAACAACTAACCCTTCATCTTTATATAGCTAACGTACCCAGAACTGTGATGGAATGTTCCTCCCATGAAAATCTCCGCGTCTGTTTTGTTACTAGATGTTTCCGCAGGTCACGTGTTCTGCACTTCGTCTTGCATAGTCCATCTCTAGGGTTGAAAGAGTTTAAAAGCTCAGTTACCCCCAAACCGTCTTATTTTGGCTCCAGGGTTTAACAGTCCTGACGTCTGTGGATTTATTTAGTTGTCTGTATCTTGTCCTGTATCCGCATGATGAACAGAAAAGCAGGATGCTCTCAGACAGCAGCAAGAGAACCTTCTAGGCTGCCATCAATCTGCTGATCGCTCATTAAATTTTAAACTACATACTGATCCACATTCACTGGCCTCTATTTGCTTCATTGTTGAGGGGAGCGTGACAACTCGTGACACCAGTTTGACCGGTGCTCACGTGTACTTCCTACCACATCCGATGGAGTCACAGCTCCCTGAAAAATGGCGGCTTATATGACCCACCAGCTTCCTAGAATTTTTACCCTCATCCTTTGACAAAGCATTGACAAGGATTGCAAAATTTCACTTCCTCTTTTAAAAGCCTTACTTATATCTGCCCCTTCTAGTCTTCCCAAATGTGCAGGGTCACTCTGTACTTACTGACATGACTCAGCAGGGATCAGCATTCAGCTTCACACTAGCAGGCAGTCCAGCTGAGGACGGTCCAGATCCAGCTGTGTGGACTCTGTGAATCTTTTCATTCTGATTGGTTTGGAAAGTGTTCCTCCTGGCTGAGTAAATGACGGTGCAGAGGTTGGCAGGGACCAGTTCCTGTCGTTGCCCATCCAGATGTCACCAGCTCTGCACACTTGCGGGCCGTTCTTCCAGCATCCTCATGCCGTGGCTCAGCCAGCCTTCCTTCCACACTCCACTCCTTATTTTGAGCTGCTTTTGTGTTTTTCAGTTCACAGGTCACATTGCCACTCTGTCAGTCTCTAGGAGACCAGCTTACTCTCTGTCCTAAGCCGCAACTTCTTCCTCGTTCCTTATCCCCATTAATAGAATGCTATTCAAAGATAATTAGACTTAATTTTTAAGACTTTAATACACGTATTTATTTATTATTTCTTGGGGAGGGGCACTCATGGAGTTTCCAGGACAACCCACAGGCATCTGTTCTCTTTCCTTCCTGCAGTCCCCGGAATGAAACTCGGGTTGTCAAGCTTTTCAGCAAGTGACTTACATCCCAGCCCACCCCAGCCATCTCAGAGGCCCTAGCTTTAAAAGTCATTGCTGAAAGACACAGGGACATGACAGCCTCAATGTGCTCCATAAGGCTATTTCCACTTAATGAGAAGGGCAGGGAGGCGCACAACTACATCCTGGTTTTCTAGATTCTATGAAGGGTCACCCCAGAACCTCAGACCTCTAGTACTGGTTGGTGGCTAGTTTTAATTGTCAGTGTGACACAATCAACTGGACCAAGAGTCTCAATTGAGGGACTGCCTAGATCAGGTTGGCCTGCATGTATGTCTGTGGGGAATTATTGTCATTATATTCATTAATGCAGGAAGAGGCAGCCTGAGACTAGGTGGCACTGTTCCTTGGTTTGGGGTCCTATACTGTATTGAAAAAGAAAAAGCAAGCTGAGCTTGTAGGTGTAGGTATGCACAGTTTATTCTCTTTCTGCTCCTGAATGGATGTAGTTAGCTGCTTCAAGTGCCTGCTGCTCTTTTATCTATTTGTGTGTGGGGCGGGGAGGGCTACCAGGTAGCTGGGTTGGATCTGGGCCCCTGTGTGTGCTACAGATGTGCTCTACCACTAACCTATATCCCCAGCCTCTTCGCAGTACCTTGTCTACATTTACATATGCCTAGATACACGAGTAGTAACCATCCCCCACAGTTCCCAGCAGTACTCAGTATAATACATTTGGAACACATTTGTTGCCTGTGAATTAAGAGCTGCATGGTGGAGCAGAGCACCTAGGTTTTTGTAAGTACATTCTATGATGTCCGCACAATGACAGTTACCCGTGGATGCATTTCTCAGGACATGTCCTGTCCTTAAGGGACATGTAACTGTAAATGGAAGGGTGGCTGAGAATTGAGACACTTGATGTCCAATTGCTTGTGCAAATCTTAGATAATTTAGGACTTTGGTGGCTCGTCCTTTTTCACCACAGAAGTCAGTCAGCACACTGGGCCATAAAGGAGCTCGGAGACGCTGGGGCCAGACGGTCTTCAAGTCTGGAGACAGCTGTGACGACTTTGAGGACTGCCACTTCGGAGCCTCCCATTCCAAAAAGCCGAGCATGAGCGCCTTCAAGGAACAGAAGAAAGAGACTTCATTTAGGTAAAATTGCACATTCCCCAGAGAAATGTATTTTATCGCCCATCAACTTTATTTCACCCATTAATGCAATGACAAAGATGAATACTTTCCTCTACAAACCCCAGAAATCTTTATTGATACCTCCAGAAAGGTGAGAATCTTGACTTTCACAGTAATGATTTAGCGGTGTGTGTACATGTGTGTGTAGGGCAAAGTTGGTTTTTGACCTTGATATTATTTTTTGTGGGTTTTCTCTTTTTCTTTCTTTCTTCCTTCTTTCCTTCCTTTCTTTCTTCCTTATTTATTTTTTGAGACAGTGTCTAGCTATGTTGCCCAGGCAGGTCTCAGACTTACAGACTGGAGTACTCCTCCCACCCTATCTCCGGAGTAGCTCAGACCACAGGAACAAACCAGCCACACCCAGCTCACTCTAGTGACCTGTGACCACCTTTATCCCCACCTAAAGTTCACATTTCTGTGTACAGAGTGCAGAGAAGCACATGCATAGTTAATGGTCTCCTCTGACGATGTTTAGGGTTAATTATTAGATTGCTTCCTGTTCAAACATTTGAAACTCATTTTCTGACCCTTTCCTGCAAGTTCAGTGTCCAGTGGGTCCTTGTCTTCAGGGCTTAGGTCATCATCCGGGCATTATTTGGCTCTGATCAGGGTGGGCTCAATTGTGGTGAACATCTTGGGAATGTACTTTCATTTTCTTTTCTGCCTGTAACAGAAGCAGTAAAAGGGACAGCCATGTCACAAGTGAGGAACTTTGGTATTGCATAGCGCAGACACGAGTGGTCATTCCTCTGAAGACACACAGAGGCTGTCAAGGGCACACACAGGTGGTCATCCCTCTGAAGACACACAGAGACTGTCAAGGGTGCACATGCATAGATTCCTCTGGCTCCCAGTCTAGACTCACACGTTTTCTTCCCTACAGCACTTGAACTTGGGAAGAACTCCATTCAGTCCCATTAGGTCAAGTTACTCTACTCTGCCACCATCGGTTTTATGTGGTCCTTGGATGAAATTCTGAGATGCTAGGAAAGGCAGAAGTGAGAAGCCCGGCATAGGCCACTCCAGAGGCTCGGCTGGAGCTCCGTATACATCCTTCTTCTAAGGAGAAAACCTATAGGAGGACATTTTGCTGACACCTGTAGTCCCAGCTACACTGGAACCTGAGGAAGAAAGATACAAAAGTTCAAGACCAGCCTGGATTATATAACTATATAATCTATATAACTATAGATTGGTCTCAATAAAGAAGCAAAACAACAACAAAGAACCATCCCATAAAAAGAGGCCAAAACAATAACAACAATGAAACAAAACAAAAACAGGCATGATGACAGATACCTCTAATTCCAACACTTGGGAAGTGGGACAAGGGTGTCAGGGATCAGCACTTCAAGGTCAAAAAGCCACATCTTAAAATAACAACACCACACACATACACACAGAGCGAACCTCCATATAGTACACACTGTAGTTCCAGCTACTCCAGAGGGTAAGGACCACAAGTTCAGGGCCAACCTGGGCAACTTAGAGGCATCCTGTCTCTAAGTGAGAGAGGGACTGGGGTGTAACTCAGTGTAGAGTGTTTGCCTTCTATGTACTAGAGCCTGAGTTTAATCCCCTGGGAGAGGTGGGGGGAGGACAAAGCATGAATAGACCTTCCATAAGTAGTAAAACTATAGTTGAATAAGAGGGAAAGAAGCCAGAAATGGTGATCCACCCCCAATAAAACAATGCTACCTGTGTCTAGAGCTCCCCCGGAATAGGTGGCCAGTGTCCTGCCCTAAACAACCTTCCTAGATAGAAACAACTTTGGTAGGAGGCAGAGATGGCCATGGCTGCCATGTGGTCTTCAACCTTATTAATCCACGACTGCAGCAATTCCAGAAGAATCAAACTGGATTACTGTAGTAATATGGGCGGCGGGGCTGTGTCCCCAGCACCCCGGCTGCCTGGCTAGCTCATGCCCGAAATAACAACACACAAACTGTATTCATTTAATCACTGCTTGGCCCATTTCTATCTAGCCTCTTCTAGGCTAATTCTCACATATTAATTTAGCCCATTTCTAATCATCTGTGTAGCGCCCCTAGGTGCGCTTACCGGGAAGATTCTAGCCTATGTCCATCCTGGGTGGGAGCTTCATCGCGTGCGTCTGCCTGGGAGCGGGGCATGGCGTCTCTCTGAGGCGTCTGCTCCCGAGAGGAGAGCTGTGGAGTCTGAGCTCACTTCCTCTTCCTCCCAGCGTTCTGTTCTGTTTACTCCTCCCACCTATCTTCTAACCAATGAGGGCCAAGCAGTTTCTTTTTATTTAACCAATGACCTTCCTCCATCAGATTACAGACCCACAAACCGCTATAGAGGCTCTGCCACATCTCGTCCAACGTCAGCTATGACCCCTGTGCTGGCAGAGATATGGAGGGAGTTATCATTTAGCAGTCCTGACAGCAAAAGGCCTCGTGGTTTGGCATCATCTCATTCGAGTCACTGAAGGAGGTGGGGAGGTCTGCTGGTTTTCATGCTGTGACTGCTGTGTTGTGTTGACTTTCAAGGCTCCCAGAGTCAGGAACCCCAGGCTCCACCCACTCCAAGGGGGAAAATAGGAGTTTACACCCGGCTGTTTCTCTGAAGTCCGATACAAACTTGTCAACCGCTTCAACTGCTAAGCAGTACTATTTAAAACAATCAAGATACCTCCCAGGTAAGTGGAGAAAATTGGCCACTTAATATTTACCACTCAATCCCAGCACTCAGAAGGCGGGAGCAGGAGTATTAGGGATCCCAGGCCAGCCTGAGCTGTCTGATACCCTGGTCCAAAACAACACAAAAAAGGGATAATGTTCATCAGAGTCTTGATAGGGTAAAGGGCTGTGGTATCTCTGAAAAGAGGGGCCAGGGAAGGAGAAAGCAGAGTCCCAGGACTCTTTGACAGCTGTGCCTACTGCCATGAGCTTCCTGTCTCTGTGACCAATGGAAGTCTGTTCAAGAAATACTGAGCTGGGAGCTGGGCAGTGGCAGCATATTCACCTACTAGGCCGTGTCTCAGCGTTCATCTTCCTTTGGGTTCACAGTCACACTCTAACTTTGAACATGACTGCTTCGTTGTTTTTTTCTTTAGGTGTGAATCCCAAGAACGTGTCTTTGGTAGCCGGGGGCAAGGATATTAACACACAGGCTTGGAATAGTCAACTATTTCCTAAGTCGCTGGGATCCATGGGGGCGGAACTTGCCTTCAAGAGGAATAATGCAGGTAAGAGATGCATGCCACCTGTCAGTGTCTGATGCCTGTTTGTAAACAGAAAACGGAAAAGACTTCTCACTGGCCAAGTCGAATTACATTGTCCAAGGTGCCAGTCAAAGGGACAGTTGGATATGTTGAAAGATGAGGAAACCCTCAGGAATGGGGAGCTAATCCTTGTGGAAGTTGTGTGGCTGCTGGGAAGATCCAGAGTTCGAGGCCATCCAGGGCTACACAGAGTGCGTCACCTCCCCCTTCAAAGTCAAGGGGGTCCCAGTCTTTAGCCCTTAGAAAATTAAAAGAGGGCCTCATTGAACTGTCTGATGACAATTAATTAAAAACCATTGTCACAGATCGCTCTGCCATTATGGCCCATAAAGTGCAGAGAATAGTAACAAAATGATCCTCAGCAAAGTGTTCACATCAACAAGGTTTCCTCAGGCTTCTCTCTGCAAAAGTGAAAATCAAGACAAGAGAATAGAGCTATGGCTGAGGCCTCGCCTGCCCCTCTAACAAACACTCACTTGCTGAAACACAAACAACTTGAGAGAATACGCCTCATTAAACTGTGTTCCTAGCAACAGTTACCTTCCATGCTTAGGCATCAAAATTTATAATGTTATCTTTTTATTAGTTATATGCCATGAATCATTATAATTTAACAATATAGGAAAGCATATTTACTATGGTTACAGAAAGCTACATTTTTTCTAACATATACAATTTTTGAATGACGAGTTTATACCTTTAAGTCTAAAGTTCTATTTGAATAGAATCTGGAAGCTAAAGTATGATTTAGGAGAAAGGGATGGAGATGAGACTTTAGCCCGCGAAAGGGTGTCAGCTCATGTGCTTGTTCGTCAGAGCCGGCAGACTTTTATGGGTTTTGTAAACTTTAAAGGATGTTAGGTCACACACTGGGGGTGGGCAATAAATGGCTTTTAAATGAACTAAAAAGGGACAAAGGCCCTTGGCTCTGGATTGTAACATTCCAACTCTCCACAATCTAGAAATTCTAGTCAGTCATTCACGGTGTAGAATCCTCGGCATAAGTGTGGTTTGGGTTTTGTGTTTGGAGGTAGCTGTAGTTTATAGACTTCTGTCAAGTTCTTCTACCAGTTCCACTTGCCCATTTAACAAGGCTGCTATGTTCAGCTAGTCCGGATTTATCCCATGCTTTTTCAGACCTAGGCCAGCTGGCCTTGGTGAGATCCCAATAGAACATCCCCATTGTCTTAGTGTGTGGGTGCACCCCTCGTGGTCCTGAGTTCCTTGCTCGTGCTCCGTCTCCTTCTGCTCCTGATTTGGACCTTGAGATTTCTGTCCGGTGCTCCCATGAGGAATACTGAGAACTCAAGAACAATCGCAGTGGGTTTTTGATCCTACTGCACATACTGGCTTTGGGGGAGCCTAGGCAGTTTGGATGCTCACCTTATGAGACCTGGATAGAGGTGGGTGGTCCTTGGGCTTCCCACAGGTCAGGGAACCCTGATTGCTCTTCGAGCAGATGAAGGAGGGGGACTTGTTTGGGGGAGGGGGAGGGAAATGGGAAGCAGTTGCGGGGAGGAGGCAGAAATTCTTAATAAATAAATAAATAAATAAAAAATTAAAAAAAAAAAACAAGGCTGGAGCACCAGACTACACCTCTGTAATCCATTTATTTCATCTCAGCGATTTCAAAGTAGTATTTCCAGAGGCTGTGAGTTATACAGATCGGTTCAGATGATGGTGCCAAAGTTTCGAGCGTTTTTATTCATAGTCAGCACTGCAGGGAAGCTGTGACGGCGCACGGGGACATTTCTCATTGTAGAGCTCTTTCTGGGTCTCTCCACTAACCATTTAACAATTTTCCCTCTGCTCTCCTTTAACACTCCCCTTGCGGCTCTCTCTCTCTCTCAACCACCTTCTTTTAGAAGAAAGCATTATTAAACCGATTGAACACCTGTCATGCTCTGAAAAGTCCACTGAGAAGCTAGAGGACCGGCAAGGTAATTTCTGGGCACTGTAAACCAACAGATGGCTTAGACTCACTGGCTCTCTTCTCAGCCGCAGGCCCAAGCCTCTCACAGAAGGCCAGGGTAACCTGCTTCAGGGTCAGGTCAGGGCCGAGGGGAAGAGCAGCTTTCTCGAGCCGCCCAGAGCGCCTTCTTTCTTTTCAGATTCTCTGTGCTCGCCTTTCTAATTATGCCATAAATTAGTTATGGCATGTCTAGGAATCACAAAAATCACTCTGTTGAAAGTAAAGAATAGTTTCTTGTTTTGCGATCAATATTTCTAGGATTTAGAAAAAAAAATCCTGGTGTTCCTTTCTTACACACGCACAACCATTGTAAAGAAAACCAGCGTTAATGGCAATGGTGGATTTCAGGGGGCAGGGTATTGATTGACATTAGCTGTTTCCACAGCAAATACCAGCGTCTAGCTTCCAGCCTAAAAAACTTTCCAGTCTCTCATACATAAAACCCTGCAGCAAGCAAGCACCTCACGTAATAAGCCAAGATAATTTAAGAATTGATTGCCAGGTCCGGTCATTCTTCGTAAAGTCTTTTGGCAGCATACAGCAGTGGACAGCTGCCTAGCGCATGGTGGCTTCTAGTGTCTGCCTTGTTCCCATTTTGCTTGTTTCTTGTTATTTTTATTCTCAGTTAGTTATTAAAGCCATTTTCTCCACCTATAAGATAGAAGAAGTACCATTTCCTTAGCTCTCACTCATGCCTAATGCTTGTGACATCCAGTAGTTACTGCGTTTGCCCTGGTGAAGAGGAGGTGAGCAGGGGCTCACCATGCTCTGAAGTGGCTACCGGATGTGAGCATGGCTTTGAACTTCTTTCCAAGTCTTTTGAGGCTTTGGGGGATGGAGTTCAGCTTGTCTATCTAACATACATGACACTGCAGGCTCAAGTCCCAGCACCGCATAAACCAGGTGGGGTGGCACACACCTGTAATCCCAGCACTCAGGGGAGTGAGTAGCAGCGGGAGGATCGGATCAGAAGTCTCAGACCCGTCTTTTGAAGTAACAGGATGGATTAGTGATTCACAGTGAGCACTGGGGATGAGAAGGCCGGTCAGTGTCGTCTGCTGTACTTGCTTAAATGCATTAGTGTTAAAAATTATACAGATGCACCAGTCACGAGATGGCGCATCCTCTGGACATCACTCATCTCCAAGTCCACTCCCTCCCTGACCCGAATATCCTCCTCTACACCTCCTTCCCCCAAACCCGATTCTCCTCCTGCATTGCTTCCTAATGCATGCCATCCAGTCACCTAGGCTACAAACACAGAGACTCTATCCCCCCCCCACCCCCACCCGGTTCTCTTCTCCAGCTTGCTTCCAACCTAATCTCTCCAATACCAGTGACCTCATGGCTGGGCTGTGCCTTTAGATCCCTCATCAACTCATCCAGTGCCACCTTCAGACTGATCTCGCTAACAATGTTGATGGTGAGACTGAATGGTGAGCATTTATTGCCTGTAGCTCCCATAGCTTCTATGAAAGAACTTTCCTACATATTCAGAGCCTAGAAGCCTATAAATATCTTCAACACACATGCACACACACACACATCCTAAGAACTGGTGTCATCAAAAAGTCTAGTGTGTTCAGGGTTCAGATCCTAGCTCAGTTCTTCACTCACTGCGAGCCCAGGCAAGCCATTCACTATCAGAACCACAGGGCATCAAAACAGTGCTTCTGAGCTGTTCCAGGTCTGAGTGAGGGTTTCTGGGATGGCATAGCATGGTGCCTAGAACACGGTAGCTCGTAAAACAGCAGCTCGCATTAAGAAGGGTAGTATAGTAGTCTGAGTCGCTCTGCAGCACCTTAAAAGCCTCCTTCTGACCCGAACCCCCTGATGCATCGGCAGGAACCCTTGGAAGCTACACCACTTACAACCAGACAGGATACTTGCCTTCCTTTCTCAAGAAAGAAGTGGGGTCAGCTGGCCAGAGGATCCACTTGGCACCTCTTGGTGCGACGGCTTCGGGTAAGAAAAATCTCCTCATACAGATTTCTTACTGGAAGAGGCTTGCCCTTCTAAGGTTATGAGGTCTGTTTTCTTGAGTGAGGTCAGTTAAATTAGTCTCACGGTATTAATACTACTCAGTGGTTCCCCTTCCACCATGGTTTCTGCCCAGAGCTTGGCCCCAGAACCAAAGAGTATCAGTATTGAGAAAGGAAGGCACAGAGCCCTGTAAGGGGAGTGAAAGAGGAGGGGGCAGGAAAGAACAGCTAGGGAGGTGGAGGAGCCTGAAGAGCCCAGCCCTGCCCTGGGGATATGGCTGTGGGATGGGAGGACACAGCAGGCTCCAGCGGGAGCTGCTTCAGTGACACAAGACAGACTGACAAAAATGTAGTTTGTACACGTAGTGATTTCAAGAGCTTTCTAGAATGGATGGTGTGGTTACCGTCTGCCCTGCCCTCACGCTTGCCTGTGATGGAGACTCTCCTTCGTGGATGAGGAAGCCAGCAGCGTCTAGCAATGTCACCTGAGGCCACAGTTGAGCCAGGGAAGACAAACATGGAGCTTCTCCCTCCCAAGAGACGCTTTACCCTAGCGAGGTGTGGGGAGTCTTCAGCACTTTCTGCCTGGTGCTCAGCCGCTCTGTTTAAGAGGCGGGATTCAGGATGCAGTTTCTCCCCCTTGGTTTTTGCTAAAAGAAACAATGTCAGATGACAGGACAGTTGATCCCTCCGCCTCTGGGGTCGTGGTTAATTGGGGTCGGCTTGTGCTGTCACAGCACAAGGCATGAAAGCCACATGCAGAGGTGTGCTCTGGAAATGAAGGGTGACAAGCCAGGCAGAGTAGTATCTGCCTCAAATTCCAGTATGTGGGAGGCTGAGGCAGGAGGATCAGAAGCCCTAGGCCTGCCTGGGCTGCATAGTAAAACAGAGGAGAGAGATGGCAAGTGTTGGCTCGGAGCCCTCCAGATTTGATGGTACATAACATTCTTGCGGCGAACCGGCTCACTACACATTCTCTAAATTATTTTCATTTAAAATAGATATCCTCCGAGAAGCATCTAAAATAAACAGTAAGGCAGATGACCCCAAGTTTGGTTTAGGGTTCCTTGTTATTTATAAGTTCAAAATGCTCTTCCCACTGTCCCAATAGGACCTTGCGCTGAGGTGACTGTTTAGATTTGCCGTCTTTTACAGGACAAGCAGCCAAGGCAGCTGGGAAGGGAGAAGGCAGGGGCGACTGGTCGCTCCCACCTGTCCCCCGGGGGCTGCTTTCATGGTACTCATTTGCTGTAGCAGGCCATAAAACATGGTCGTTCCAGTGTCTTCTAAACAACATACACCCATGTCGCAAGCACATTATACCCAGCGGTGGATTTCAGGAAGCCCCGAGAGTTTTAGGCTAGTCTTATAGTGAGTCATTCACCACGACTAAACATCCGTTTTTGATACAAACTGCAAAACGTGATGTTTAGAAGAACTTTGCTATCTGGGTACTCACTTTTAGAAACCAAGAGCGGGTCTTTTATTAAAAAATAAAATAAAAGGCTCTTCTGTGTTGAATCTGTGAGATCATCATGCATATTCCTGCTTTCCCTTTTTAAGGAAATTGCTCTCACCTCTTCCTTTACTCTGCTTATCAGCTTTCCCTCCAGGTGGTGATAGAAGGAGAGGCAAAAAAAAAGAAGTAAACATTGCCCGCTCCCAAGTGGTGCATGCAACCCATTAGGAAAACACTGCCTTCCAGTGCCCCACCAGAAACACAACCAGGTCGTTACCGTATTTACTCGACTATTCCCTCCTCTCTATAGATGCCCTCTCGCTCTCTTTCCTTACCCTCAAGTTTCGCAAGGAAAAAAAAAAATCAAGCTAATGTCTTCCTATCCTCCCATTTAACCTCTTTTTTCAAAGCCCTAATATTTCCTCATTCCCTGCCTTGACAGTAACAAGACCAGGGGGCGTGGCCTGTGAATACAGCCACCCACAGAAACCACAGGTGATTGTCCTGAGGAGTCTATTCGTTCCTAGACAGAGAGGGCAGCCACAGATCCAGGAAATGATTCCATCCAAGTTGAGCTTGGGGAGTTTATTGGGGGTGACCCCGGTATCTGGACCATTGAGAAGGCCACCCAAGCATAGGTGACAAGTCACAAAGGCTGTGTCACTGGGCTTCCTGCACAAGCAGGCCGCTACATGACAAGTCCCCTCCCCTATCTGCCTCCCAGCCCCCCAGCTCCCATCCCCCATCCCCTCCTCCCACCCCACAACTGTTTATTGCTTCCATGGCCTCTGGGAAGGCCTGTGGGTCAATTTCCAGGAGACTCCAGAGTCTTACACCATTCATGTGTTTCCTAAGCCTTTCTGAGCTTCCCCTCTGCTATCCGTTCACAGGCTCTATACTCATGGCTCCATTTGGACCTGAGGCCACCTGTGTGAGCTCACTACCTGAGGTTTCCATATTCCAACAGTTATAGCTTCCTGGAAAACACAGTGCCTTCATTGGCCCTTCTAGATACATAGCCCTGGCTTACGTTAGGCAGCTGATTCACTGAGTCCAGTAAGAGCAGTATGAAGTTTCCCGCCAGTCATGCCCCGCCCCCGCCCCAACCCAAACACTATCTATAGCAGTCAAGATGCCAATCTGGCCCAGGGCCTTGCTCATGAAGATGGAGGCCAACACCTGTTGACCACAGGCCCACGTGGTTCCCTCCTCCACTCTTAACATCACAGTGATGTGTAAGAAAGGCTGGGACACCAGACCAACAAAGGCATCACAGCTGTAAAAGGGGTGGAGTGACGGGGTGCATCTCAGCACTGATGCTGAGTTTACTCTCCAGCGTCAGCAGCTGCACCAGCTGCACGGTGGGAAAAGATAGATAAAGCCCAGAGCAAAGACTGGCACTCTCCTCATGTCAGGCCCGGGAAGCCTGACTCGGCATGGAATGAGGAGGAACCGAAGAGGACATAGTAGTTCCCTGGATACTTGTTCCTGGATACTTTAGTTCCCAAGGACTCATGCCTTGGTCACTGGAGATCCTCAAGCAATTTAAGCTCGCTCGGATATCAAGTGTTTAACAAATTTTAAATCTCTCAAATCATGGATAATAACCCACTAACACTGGGCCAACCTCTCTCACAAATCATCACACTGTCAAATAGATGAATAACATAAACCTTGTGATTAAAGATTTGGGCTCCTCTAAAAATTACCGATTGGAGCTGGAGAGATGCTCAGTGGCCAAGAGCACTTGTTGCTCCTGAAGATAATCCAGGTTCAATTCCCAACACCCACATGGCCGTTCACAACCACCTGTAGCTCAGCTTCCACGGATTCTGACGCCTTCTTCTGACCTCTTTGGGCATTCAACACACATGGTACATATACATATACACAGGCAAAACACTCATACACACAAAACAAAACAGATCTTTTTTAAAGGCTGCTCTTTAAGGGTTTGTGTGATCACACATGGTTTTACCAATTAAAAAAACAATGAAGTTTGTGGATTTGGGTTCTGGTTCACTGGCAAAGCTCTTGTCTATCTATGTATCTAATGCCTGGTTTCAGTTCCTAGTACTAAAAAAAAGAGAAAAAGAATGGGAGGGAAGGAAGGGGAAAAAAGAAAAGAAAAGGAGGGGCTGGAGAGATGGCTCAGAGGTAAAGAACATTGACTGCTCTTCCAGAGGTCCTGAGTTCAATCCCCAGCAACCACATGGTGGCTTACAACCATCTACTATGAGATCAAGTGCCCTTTTCTGGTGTTCAGGCAAAACATGCAGCCAGAATACTGTATACATAATAAATAAATAATAATTTTTAAAAAAAAGAAGAAAAGGAAAGGAAACAGTGGAGCCAGAAGTGCTAGCACACACCTTTGTTCCAGGACTCAGGAGGCAGAGGCTGGCAGAGCTCTAGAAGCTCTAGGTCAGCCTGATCTACATAGTGAGTTCCAGGTCAGCCTGAGCTATATAGTATTATCTGAAAAAATTAAGAGAAATTAAAATTCTAGATAGCACATTTTCACAGAACTTTATATGTACAGCTTCCATGAAGCCTGGATTCCACACAGTTCCAAGTATGTCTTTAGTGGTAATACCATGTTTGAATGTTATTTAGGATGTAACCATAGCGTGAGATTAATCACCACACTAAGTGCTGCTGCTCACTGACTAAGGAACCACAGATGTCTCCTGGTCAGTTCACTCCCGTTTAGCTATCTAAGAGTGGCAACATCTGAGTAACAAATCAGAAATGCTAGCTCTTATGCCATGGAAAATTCTAGTAAATATCCGTGTAATAAATACCCTACATAAGTGTTGGGAGAGTAAGGATGAACTGACCCTGACTGAGGCCAGCCTGAGCTACGTAGTGAGTGTTCCAGATCAGTCTGAGCCACATAGTAAGAACTTGCCTCCAGAGAGAGAGAGAGAGACAGAGACAGAGAGAGAGAGAGGAAAAAGAAAGAAAAAAGAAAGGAAAACTAAATGCAAACCTTCACATTTGCTCCACAGCTTTCAAAGATAAATCCACACTTTCCTACAAAACAAAGATGAATTGCTTTATTTTGAATTTAATAATCAAATAAATGAAATTCTGATTTCTTTCAGAATATGCCTGGAACACAAAACCTAGCCGAGGCCCGTTTTCAGGACGAACTTACAATCCCACAGCAAAAAATCTCAATATCATGAACCGCACACAGCCAGTCCCCTCGGTGCACGGGAGGACAGACTGGGTGGCTAAGTACGGAGGCCACCGGTAGGAGGGGTGGACACCCTGAAACATCACTCCGCAGAGGACTGTCCAGCCCCTGACCCTGGGAGATGTCTACAGTCTATTTCTACTGAGTTCCCCAAGAAACACACCACTGTGGGTACCTCAAAGAGCAGAAGTCAGCTCCCGTTTTCCTCCTTTCCTGGAAATGCAATGCGTTTTCTTACTCGTGGCCCGCAGTGCTGATGCAGCACCGTGCTGAGGACTTTCGAGCGGGATTTTACAGAGTATTGAATAAACTATTTGCCAAAGTATCAAGTATTTGATCTACAAATTACTAGACAAGTGCATAAGCTTTTATAGCTATGACTCTGGGAAGTAAGGGTAGAGAATTTCACTCTTGCTTGCTGCCTGTTAGCCTAAGCTATTGTTCTGGTCACTGCAGAGACCTAGTGGCCTCAGCAGTTGGCATAGTGGGAGGCAAGCCTCTGGGTGGACTTGGCGGTGGCTCTCTCCACCTCGGCAGTGTCAGGAAGATGGTAGTTACCTTTTCGTTTTCTACATTTGGAACTCAGAGAGGAGTGACGGGGCATCTCTTAGCGGGAAACCAGCTTCTCTCCAGCCTTGAGAGACGAGCAGAGCGTGCCAGGCTGACATGAGCCCTGTTGCCGGACCTTGAGCAAACCAAACTCAAGATGACCACCAGACTCTGTGGCTGGTAAGTTCTACATTGCTCACACCAGGGTTCTCGTCATCTCACCATTAAGAACGTTCTGGAAACCATATCTGATGCTTGTTCATCTGACTCTCCAACTCTTCTGTGTTTCTACCGGACACAAAGGTAAAGTGTGCCAGCTGACCCCCAGGCAAACCCTGGCTGCTGCAGGTTCTGATCTTCAAGTTCCAGCCATAGGGCGAACACGCTCAGTTGCCACAGTTTCGTGTAGTTCATTGTCCTTAGTTTTGTTACTAAATTGTTTTTTAATAGATATTTTTGAAGTTGGACTATTTTAAACCTGCCACTTGCTCAGCTGGACATGATTAGTACTGTATATTCTTTTGAAAGAATAATGTTATTGCCTGCTAATATTTTTATGTATGTCTGGCTTTGTAATAGATGCTGATATATACATCATTTTGTGGGCATTGCTCATAGGCACATTATCAAATCATATATTTTTGTATAGAAGATATAGCTGTTCATATTTACATGTTTAAAATGTTAAACTTGAAATGGTAATTTATCCTGGTTATGTGGTTATGTGTATTTGTACAGTTTTATTGTCTCAGAGCTAATAAAAATTCCTTGGTGTTTCTAAGAAACATGGACTCTGATTACATATAAGGTTAACAAGTGTGTTTTTTTAATTATTAAACTTTATTATATCCTGTGGTCCATTTTGTTGTGGTTATTTTTCATATTTTTTTTATTTTTTAAGCAGCATATATGTTCGGCATCGTTAGGACATTTTTGAACAATGTGTTTCTGTGGCTCTCCTTTCCCCATCTCCCCTATCTCTTAGCTGCTCTTCCCACCCTGTCATGTCCCACGTGTCCTTCTGCCCACTCCCATCCTTCCTCATCACCTGCCAGTACCCTCTCTCGGTCTCCTTTCTAAGTCTGTAGACTTTACCAGCCCTTATACTTTTGCGTACATACATGTACACATTATAGGCTAGGAGTCACGTCGGAGGAAGAACGCGCAGTTTTAGCCTGTGTGTGGCCCTCTTGCTTGATATCATACTTTCTCAACCCACCCATTTTCCTGAAAATTTCATTTTTTTTGGTTATAGCTTATTTTCCGTATCTACAGCACACTTTCATTTTCCATTTGTTAGTGGTTATCTAAGCTGGTTTTGTTTCCTTGCCGTCATAAGTATAGCAGCAGTAGATATGTGTGCGAGTGTCCCTGGCAGAGGATAGGTCCTTCGCAGGGGTTGTGGAAGTTTCAGGTTTACAGAGTATGAGTTCCCATGTACCCTTCATCCTCCCCCAACTTTCCCTATTACCAACATCTTGTATCGCTGTGGTACCTCTCCTATGCTGGGGATGGAACCCAGGGCTTTATACATGCTAAGCTACACTAAGTCATACTCCCAGGCCTTAGAATCTATGTCTCTTAACTGTTCTATTTCTAGAACGCCCCATAGCTGGAACCATAGACTATGTTACTCTTTCAGACTGGCTACTTTCACTTAGCAATTGTGCATTTAAAGTTCCTACATATGTTTAGTTCCAGAGCTTTTTTATATTTATCTGTGAATCAAATTTTCTTTCTTTTTTTTTTTTTTTTTTTTTTTGGTTTTTCGAGACAGGGTTTCTCTGTGGTTTTGGAGCCTCTCCTGGAACTAGCTCTTGTAGACCAGGCTGGTCTCGAACTCACAGAGATCCGCCTGCCTCTGCCTCCCGAGTGCTGGGATTAAAGGCGTGCGCCACCACCGCCCGGCTCTGTGAATCAAATTTTGTTGTCACATACTAAAGGACATCTTAATTGATTCCACATCCGGGCAGGGGAATTGCAAGTTCAAGTCCTTTATGGGCCACAAAACAAATTCAAAGCCTGGACAACTTAGCACGACCTGACATCAAAATCAGTAAAAGCCTGCTCCATGGTAGAGTGCTTGCCTGGCATGCACAAAGCTCTGGATTCAAAACAGTGCCACAAAATGACAAAAATAACGTCTTTTCTTTCTTGTTGCTTTTCCTTTACGAGACCAACACAGTGGGGTGATGTGGGATTTTCCTCTGTATGCTTTATTACCTTTGGTTAATACAGAAGTTCCTTTGGCCTATGGCAGGGCGTATGTCTGAGCCATTGGCCAGGGTTGTAATGAATATAGCTTTTATGTGATGATTCAGATCTGGGTGACTGGGAAACGAAAAAGTAGTTGGCTGGCAGGGATGTATTTTGGCTCATTATTCTGGAGGGACTGACCCAAATTCCAGTAGCCCCACTGTTCTGAGACTCTGGTTTGGGTGTTAGACATGGTGGTGGGGTAGAACACTTGCCTGACATGTATGAGGCTCTCTGGGTTGTTTGTTCAGCACTGCTAAACAAAATCACCGTGCAGTAAACAAAAAGCATGTATGTTCAGCTGAGATGTGCCTAGGATATGCATGAACCCACATTTGAGCCTTAGTGCCACAGCAATATTCAAACTGCGAATGGCGGCACACACCTGTAGCCCCAGGTACTTGAGAGGCTGGGGCAGGATTATTTGAATTTAACTGAACATGGCCAGTCTGGACAACATGGCATAACCACACTCAAGTTACTTCAATCTGATTCTGATTCCCCAGAGAATGGACCTACACTATGCAGCACTCAACTGTAAATGATTTTTTTTTTAAATTGCTGATGTCAATTGATTTGGTACAACTACACGTGGAAGGTGATCACTATGACAAGGGCTATAGAATCATTTCATCTTTTTTTTTGAGACAGGGTTTCTTGTAGCTTTGGAGCCTGTCTTGGAATTAGCTCTTGTAGACCAGGCTGACCTCAAACTCAGAGATCCACCTGCCTCTCGAGTGCTGGGATTAAAGGCACGTGCAACCACCGCCCAGCCTCGTTTCAGATCTATTAAAGTTTTCAAGACAGCATCATTGATGGAGGAAGGTCATTGGCTAATAAAGGCACTGCCCTGGCCCATTTTATTGGTTGAAAGATAGGTGGGAGGAGTAGGCAGAACAGGACGCTGGGAGGAAGAGGAAGTGAGGTCAGAGACTTGACAGCTCTCCTCTAGGGAGCAGACGCCTGAGAGAGAGACGCCATGCCCCGCTCCCGGCATGAAGCTCCGACCCAGGATGGACTAGGCTAGAATCTTCCCGGTAAGACCGGTTCTCACAGATTATTAGAGATGGGTTGATTGGGATGTGAGAATTAGCCTGTAAGTGCTAGAGCTAAAGGACCAAGCAGTGCTTAAAAGAATACAGTGTCTGTGTAATTATTTTGGGGCATAAGCTAGCCGAGCAGGCGGCCGGGGTGCTGGGAACGCAGCCCCGCCGCTCTTATTACTACACATCATCAAGCACCTGTCCTTGACATGACTACAGCAGTCACTCCACAGCAGGACGTGAAAAAAGACCCAGGGTCTCAGATGAGAAACGAGTCAGGGCTCCAGTACTAAAACATGCAGTGCACAGTACAGTGCCCTGATCAGCTGCACAGAATTCTGGGCAATATACTTCAAGAAGGCTAAATCCTGTAACACCACCACTCCAGAAAATGAAACTGTGAGCTCGAGGCCACCGTGGGATATATAGAAAGATCCTACCTTTAAAAAAAGACATGCATGTCAAGACATACCCTATAAGCATAGTGCAGATATTCAGAATCGTATTTAAGGATGATCTGGGTGGCAGGCACATCTTTAATCCTAGCACTTGGAAGGCAGAGACAAGGCAGTGAGTAGAGGAAGGTAGCTCAGGCTACAACGGGAGGTTGTAGTTGCAGACACTAAGCCTGCTTTCAAGACACTTAAAAGCAGATGTGAGGTTAAGTCCCTGTTTGCATGACAGTCCTACCTTAGAAATTCCCAAAGGGTTTTGTGTATTTTGGTTTGGGTTTTTCTTTTCTTTTTCTTTTGTTTTTGAGACAGCATTTCTCTGTGTAGCTTTGGAGCCTGTCCTGGAACACACTCTGTAGCCCAGAGGCTGGCCTTGAACTCATAGAGCTCTACCTGCCTCTGTCTCCCAAGTGCTGGGATTAAAGGTGTGTGCCACCACCACCCAGCTCACAAATTATTTTTAAAACAAGCTTCGAGACAATGTCCAAACAATAACACTCCTTGGTCATTCCAAACGGGGAATCCCTAAGTATGACGCTCACGGATCCCCTCATGGCTCTTTACTGTCCTGCTCTCCACATCTCAGGCAACATCCCAAACATCCCAGTCACTCCAACAAAGAACACCCGAGAAGTGTTCTTAATAGCAAACTTTATTTTCACTGGTATTTGACAGGAACATGATTTCACAGCAGACCTATACAAAAGATCCCACATCACAAATGTCACCGAGAGATTTCACACACTCTGGGCAGGCCTTGTGGCTCTGGAGCCCCCCATGTTGACATCCTTGTCTACTGGTCCAGGAGACATG